GACATGGTACCTGGGTTCTGCTCAGCTTCAGCTTGATTAATAGCATAGACCTGGGCTTGTTGTCCTCCTCCCCTCTGCTGCTGAGGTTGCCCCTGAAGTTGCGGCTGCTGCCTATCTGGACAAAACTTCATGCCATGCCCAGGCTTTCGGCAATGGTAGCATACATTTTGTCCAGCTAGACATTCTCCTCTGTGATGCTTTCCACAGTTGGCACAGGCTGGAACCTGATAACCTTGCTGCTTCTGCTTACTTTTGCGGTCATTCTTGTGACCTTTCCACTTTCTCTTGTTCTTCCCATTCTTTTCTTGCTGAACAGGTACCAACTGAGCTGGTGGTACTGCTGGAACTTGTGATATTGGTTGTACCATAACTTGATTATCTCCCCTCTTGAAACTAGCCTCGATCTCATGAGCCTTGGCCACAATATCAGCATAATTCTGAATATTGTGTCCGGCGACATGATGACGGATCGAGGGTAGCAGGCCATCTCGGAAACGTCTCGCCTTCTTTGCCTCCGTCTCCATTAGATTGGGAGCAAAGGATCCCAACCTAGTAAATTCTCGTTCATACTCATCTATTGAACGATTTCCCTGAACTAGCGCCAGGAATTGGCGTTCCATCTCAGCCTTATAGTAGTCAGGATAGTACTTATCATTCATCATCTCTTTGAACTGGGCCCAAGTGAGATTCTCTTTCTCACCAGGACGCATGCCCCAGTAAGAATTCCACCAGAGACGAGCATCTCCAGTCATTGGCAACTGAGCACAGAGAATGCGATGTTTCTCCGAACACTCAGTAATCTCAAAGATTGTCTCCAGACCTTGGATCCATTCTTCCACTAGACGAGGATCTCCTTGTCCAGAAAACTTCTCAGCATTGTAGCCACGAAACTGGGCAACTACTTCTGCTGAGGTCATCTCTCTTTGACATTGATTCACTCTTCGTGCCATCTGGATTATTAATCCCATGATAAACTTTAGCACACTTTGGAATAATTTCAAGATAAGCCATTATTTCTATACGAGTTATTTATTAACTCGAAAATTTTAAATTTCTCAAATCTAATAGGGAGTAATATGGTATTTCTTAAAATCTTTGATTGAACATCTTTTCTGATTTCTAAAATTTGGATATCCGAATCCTATTGAGCATAGACTTAGTAATTTGCTTATATAAAAACTTTCATAAAACTTTTAATCAACACTTACCTGGTAGTCGGCGAGGTGTGAGTGTGGTGGGATCGGTTTTCCTGAAACTGTTTTCTGAACTTAAACTTTTAGTATACAGAGCACATACTCTAGCTCTGATACCACCTGTAACACCCCGCTCATCAGAGTAAATTTTTCGCAACTTTTACTTCGAAAATACTTATAACTCTTTCGAAATCTTTTGCGACTAACTCTGGATGCTACTCAAACTTATCTTTTCTGGAAATCCGTTTATCTTTAAACTTTGTCTAATACTTCTTTAGACATAAAGAAAACAGATTTAATTAAACTTGCATTTAACTATATCATATTCATACTTCTGAAATGATAAAAACTTAAAATCTGAAATTTATTAGAATGCAAGTTCAAGTCTCAATATGCGTAGCGGCAATACTTAAAAACGTGAATAATTATACAGACATATCAAGTTCATAATAAATGTCCATTTAAAGAAGTGCACGACCACCACCACCAATTCTTGAGCTCACACCTCCGGCCCGACCCTATTACCTGAAAAACACAATGGGGGTGAGTACTGATCCTTTTGTACCCCGAAAACACCCATACTAAAGTAAACAACAATAATAATACAATATCATGATCGTTGGTATATAACTGGACTGGAAATTTTTTCCAGTAACTGAAACTGAATCTGGCCGATATCTGATCGGATACTTGTGCACAATCTGATGGATATTTCTCAAGGCAACTAAGGGCCTCCATCAGAACTTAGGATATACTCTAAGGCAACTGAATGCCTACTCATCCCAAGCGTATAAACTTAAACTGTATACATAGCTCGGACATGATATCAATATTATACTCAATGTAATACCCAGTCTGGGTCCCCACCTTTCTTCTTTTGAAACTTTGAAAAGCGTAAGTGTTGTTATTTGGTAGCTAACTCCTCAAGCTACATAAAAATATAAACAAATATACTAAGTACTATGCTCGTATACTCAATAAGATGCTGGGATTCTTAACTCTACCAGATAACTTATCTGAATCTTAAAGATATTCATTAAACATGCTATTGCTCAAATGAATACTAAATCATTGAAAAACCAAACTTTTCTTAAACTTTTACTCAAGGTCAAATACTTAACCCATATAAATCATATCTTTCAAAATCTTAGATATTGGCTTATACTCGCATGTCACTTAAATAACTCGTATGTGAAAATAAATTAAATTTCACATTAGACTTAATTGAATACATAAACTCAAAACATGCTCAACTTTTACCAATATCATATACATGATTTATACGGATTTTTAATCTATCAAACTTGTCTTAAACTTGCTTGATATTAAAATCTCAAACTTGATGCTTATTCAATACAAGTTTTTATCATAACCATAAATTATGATATTGATATACTAGACTTGAAAATTTTTTATAAAATCACATACTCAACATATTGAGCTGAAACTTGGTCAAATTGCTCATCACTCATATAAGAATCTTTTCTAAAAATTCCATTTTAAAAACTCAACCATGTACTGAATACTCTTGCATATAAAATCATCTTGACATGTATGACATATAAATATTTTAACTCGTTCATTTCTCAACATAAAATCATGAAATTTGGTAGTCATGTTCTTAACCCGTATATAAGCATGAAGTAAAAATTTCATAATTTTATCATGCGTATATATCGAGTTATTACAATTTTAAAGTCACAGCTGAAATAAAGAACATAAAATTCAACTTGCATGCTTAACTTCAAAAATTTATAACTCAAGCTATACTATGTCAAATGACATAATTCTTTCACCTATATACTCAGCACTTACACAAGAAATATCCATAATAAGTTTAACATGCCAGGTTATGCATATCATGCTCAAATTCAAATCAAAACAGTACATATATAACATGTGATTGTGCTGCAAACAACTTATCATTTTTTTTTCATGCTTAAAATTTCTTTAAAAATTGAATATATATATATGGCATGAAATTACATCAATATTCACTTAATATAAACTATAACATATGATAAACAGGTAGCATCTAACCTTCTTCAAGAAATTTGAAAATGAAACTTCGGAAGTTGATCTCAACTTATCTTCGTCAAGATTTCTCTCGATTTATCTCTCTTTCTTACCCTCTATAGCTAAGACTTTGCTTATTATGATGTGAATTTCGAGCCTATGCTGATGCTCCTTTATATAGGGTAGCAAAGGAGACAACATCACCTTCTTTACATCAACACTCCATCATAATAAACACCATAGGCCCCTTATCATTAATGTTTTTCTAAAATCTTGCACAAAGATGATTAAGCCTTGATAAGTACTTGTAATGCATGATTTATCTTGCATATATCAAGACAAACCTTCTCCCTTTGACCATGCCTCGAAATTAAGCTAAAATGGCTCATTTATCCCTTAAAAATACTTAGAAAAATTTTATAAAAATAAATAAAGATAAAGAATGGAAATCATAACTTGTAAACATAACAAATCTATAGTCAATACTTAGAAAGGCCCATCATGTGATCCTAATCTGATTTCCATGATAAAATTCGTGACTTAATGAAAAATTTCCAATTTACAGAACCGGATTCTGACTTAAAATGAACGGTTACCGAAAAATCGAAAATTCTAAAAATTTTAGATTTCCATCTTTTGCTTTTGGCCTTTTTCCTTTTTATGCTGAAAATTTTTAACTCTTATTAATGATCTTGAAACTTGTAAAAAATATAAGAAAATAAATTTTTCGGAAACGAAATCGGACTTAATTATCGACTACAACCGAACATCGAAAAAACTCGAAACTTGCGAATATAATTTTTGAATATACTCTTAATAATATAAATAGACCTTCTTGTCTAAATAACTTCTACTTAATCCTTATAACTTATCAATCAAATCATATAAGTCACATAAAATACTTAGGCAATTTATAACATTTACTCGACTAACTCAATTTAATGAAAACGATTCCGATTTAACTTTAATGTCGAGCCAACTGAATCGTTTCTAACTGAACTGGTCATTACATCAACTTGATGAATTTAAACACTTAGAAAAATTCTAAGTATTTAATACTAAGGCTCGACTATAAATTAGGATTTCTCGGCACGGTTAACTTGAACCGAGCTTAATTTACTTATAAGTCCAACCTTTGCTTAATTTTACTTCCAAATTAATGGATTGATCTTGACCTTATAATGAAAAATAAAATTCTAAGAGATTTATTAAGGCTTGGAAATATAAAAGATCATTATTAATAAAAGTAAAATAGTTCTAACTTAGAAATGAAATAATTACTTTTATTAATTACTGAATGGAATATTACATATTCTATGTAAATGTAGGTTGTACATGCACAGGGGATAAGATTGGAAATTAAAAGCATATATACCTGGAAAAAGCATTGTCATCCAAAGAAAGCTTTAAATATTCGACTTGAACTCTTTCTCATCGACCTCATTATCTCAAACTTCTCGCCGCCAACACATAACATTAAAACTTCTCGACATAAAAACTCCCATGAGCTAACACACCATCGACTAAATTAAAATTACGAGACACCAACAAAATCCCTAAATAACCTCTACAGTATGTCTCATTACAGAAGTCACTCCTCCCAATTTTTAGAAAAAAAAAAGGTGTTGTCACAATAACAATAGATTACTCGAGCAAAAAAAACATAGACTAACAAGACACTTCGCTCAAAGCAAATCTGCCACATTAGCCGGGAGCTTTTCGGTAAACAGACTTGGCACAAAAATCTTCAACCAACAACAGGCTTCTCCTCAACCATTGAGGCGCTTTTACCTTCTGTTCCAGCTGCAAAGTGATTGGGGTGAGAACATTGATGAACATCATCTTCAACATCCGAATTAGACACATACATCTTAAATGACTCTGTCGAATCACTAATTTGCAAAACGATTGAATAGGCATCATCTAAACTTGCCTTTGACTTCTCCAATAGTTGAAGGAATTCATCCACAAGAATTTTGTGAGATTGAACAAATTTAGCAAAGTGAATTTCTGAATTCAATTTTGAAGAATCATAACCTTTCGAATCCATAAATCGTAAGAGAAAAAAAATACAGAGAAAAACAATGGAATCAGAATCAAAGGCTTAGAAAAAATTTAGATTAAAAGAGGCACACACAAATTGTGGAAGATGGATTGGAAAAGAATATAAAGATATAAAGTGAGATAAAAATTATTGATAGCCATGGGAATAGAGATTATGTTCTTGGTAAAGATGAAGATGGGATATGGAGAGACGTTGAATATGGACAGATATATGGGGACGGGATATGGAGAGACGTTTATTATGGAGAGATATATGAGGGTAAATACGAAAAAATGTGAATAAAAAATCTAAAACGACATGTATTTAACTATTGATCTTTTAACGCAGAACGACATCTATAAAAAACAGGAGAGAGTATTTTTTTTCAAACAATAGAGATACTTATAAAGCAAATTAAAGGTTTTACAATCGGAAGGCAAACAAACCCTTACAAAACAAACTAAAGGGAGCACCACAACAACGGTGATCTAGAGAAAAAACAACACTAGTAAATCAAAGGCATATACAAAGATTTGAGACCTCCAGAATACAAAGGACAACAACAACAAGCCAGAACTAACAACCAGCAACAGCACTAACCTACCAAACAACCAACAGAGAAAAATCACACGGGAAGGGGTCAAGCCCATTGAACGTTAGAACCTAGTCCCGATAAAGCCCACCCAAAAGAGCTAACAACACAACTCCTGGAACTCAGACTCTCCCTTAAAGCCTCTTGAAAAATCAATCTTTCTGGCAACCACACCCGATAAAAGACCAAGATGTTCTGTGCCTTCCAGAGCTACCGCATAATATACGTCGAGAGTTGAATTCGCCTCAGTAACCAAAGAATGATCTAATCAGCTAACCACCACCACCAACTTCTAAAATCATAAGTTGAAGAGTTAGAAGTATCCCAAGTCACATGGGATACCTTCCACACTAATTGAGCTCTGT